CTGGCTTATTGCCATCACGAGACAACTCTCCTGGATTATCTCCCTCCTGTGTCATCTCACGCAGCAATCTGCCTCCGATAAACTCGACACATTCGTCATTGGCACTGCGTTGAAAGGGAATATATAATATCGGGCAATTGTCATTCTTCATTCATTGCACATGTGACGTTTAGGGCAATTGTCCTTCATAGCTTATGATATTTAGCACGTTATTTTTGTTTATTTACTATGAAGGGTCATTCCCTGAAACGTCACCTATTATGTGTCCTTTTAAGGCAGCGTCATTGACCAATGTGTTGAGTGTTTTTATGTAATTTGTGTGTTGTGCACCACTGCTAACGCAGAATCACCAAACAATGGGTGCAATATGTCACTACATCTGTCTCAATAATATCTCCCTTACAGCATCTCCCTGCCTACGAACAAACCATCACGAGTGCCGTCAGATCCGGGATGCTAAGCAGAATTTTGAGCCTGGAAAGTGCTTGGATGGGTGAACCACCACGTGTACGGCTTGAAATTGGCTGCTGATGCTTCTTCTTCTGCTGCTGCTGTTGCTGCGGTGTTTGGGCAGCGGAGGACTGCGCAGGAAATTCCATCGCTGTGCTCGCCGGCTGCGCGAACCCGAACCCGAAGTGACCAGCGCGGTGAAGTATGGCCAAATAACCCCCACATACCCGTCACGGAGTGCAGAGGCCCTCATCCAGCAGTGGACTGGTACATGGTACATGTACCAAGAGAATCTCAGTAACCACACGCCAAAAAATGTACATTTGTGTAACACGTATCTCAGTTTAACGCGTAGGCTTTCGCAACCAACATTATCCATAATAACAAAGGTTTTTTTCTAGGGAGGGGGGAGGGGGTATAGTTCGCGTATCTACCCAAAAAGAAATAAATACAAGATCTACACAATTTATGTTGAGAGATACACACACACACATCTCAATGTCTCTAATATCACGTTGCTACGGTGGTGCTATTGCCTTGTTGCATCTTCCCCGGCCGTCTCTTACGTAACGACTCTCAATTCACTGTCACTCAATGGGCACGTCATGTGGCCTCAGCCTCTGCCATTGATTATTACTACTTGCGATTGCTTAATGCGTCTGTTACATTCGGCCGCGCGGTGTCCCGATTGTTTTACGATTCACGTTTCTTTCCGAGGCGTACGCGTACGTACAGAAAGACAAAGGATCCCGGCCCACCTCCAGTTTAACCTTCAACAGGCTGTTGGGGTCAAGTTGCTGTTAGCGAGCAGCTTAACGAGGGTTGGGAACAGCACGCGAACGGATTGTGTAGCCAACACCACGCCCGGCCGCCTTCGTCTCCCCCTAACGCTTATGGTGGACACACCGCAAAAGGGATTCTCTTTGATTTAAGATTGAGTGGACCTATAATGGGCGGGTCCAGGAGCCGGTGCGGATGTCACCCGTCGATGATGTTAGCCGTGGCCGGGATTCGAACTCAGGTGGGCCGGGACAGGTTCTGCAACGCGCTGCGCCGTCAATCACTGCGCCACCTCTCTTCCACCCACGCCACACACATGAACACACATTCACCAACATACACACATGTGCCCGGTGTCGCTCTTAATAGGTGCTAGCTAACAGCCTTTGCGCCTGTGGTTTATAAAGAGACAAAGGGAAAGATCCCCCGCATAGCCTCACCAACACAGTTGAGGCAAGTGCTGTTCGCGAGCACCTATGAAGGCCAGAACAGCACACGGGAGTGGTTGGGTGACCAGCACCACCCGGCCGCCGTTGTCTCGTCGAATGTTTCCATGAAACACCAGGTACTTCATTTAAGGCTACGGTCGATCTCGCAACTGATGTTGGCCGTGAGCAGGAATAGAACTCGGATCGCTGTGCTTCCTAGTGCATCGTGCTAACCACTGCGCCACCGCTCTTTGTGGTTTATAACACACCAATGCACACAGATCCCCCGTATAGCCTTTACAGACTGTTGGGGCAAGTGCTGTTAGCGAGCCCCTATGAAGGCCGGAACAGCACATCAGGGGATGGGTGGCCAGCACCAGTGCCCAGCCGCCTTTGTCTCACGAGTGGCGATGTTTGCACACCGTACCAGGCACTCATCTGAGGCTGAGTCGACTTAGGGGGAGGCCCAGGACCGGTTGAAATGTTCGTCACTGGCGTTGAGTGTGAGCGGGAATCGAACTCGGGTCGCCGGGTTCGTAGCGCAGTGCGCTAACCGCTGAACACGCACACACTAACACAATAATGCACACAGGCACACAATTACGCACTCATACAAGCACACTCAATCACGCACTCTCTCTCACACATACGCGCGCAGGTCACTTTCACACCCTTTCGCACACATATCTGGGCGAGACGCCTAATAACATTTCATAGTTTTATGAAATTCGGCAGTAAATTATTTAACAAGAATGAATACACATATATAAATGGTAGCCTCCTTTAAAATTAACAGCCACGCTGACCCAATTCCCACCCTACACACGCCAAAAATATGTGGAGCCGCCTTTATTAAGAATCATCATTGACCTGAGGTTGCCACGCAGTTCAAAGGTCAGGGCGCTGATCGGGCTCCGCTGAGAGCTTGGGCTCATTTCGCAGGCACGCTGCCTGTGATTAAAAACCGGGTTCTCAAGGGTTAGCGAGTCGATGGTCTCAGCCCGGTCACCGATAAATGCATAAAAAAACAACCCCGTGACATTTACCTTTGGTTTTGCACTTTGGCTACACTTTGCAGCTCTAAGAATTTTTTTTAAAATACCTGTGTCACTGGCATGCGTCAAACGTTACCCTGGCGTCAGTGGCACAGGGCTTTTTGGAGGAAATGGGCTGCTGCCTATTGTGTAGGCCAGAGAGGTCACCGATAGGGTGGTGACACGGCCTCGCGGTGAGGGCGTTTGGCCGCTATAGCTGCAGAGGTTCACGGTTTGAATGTAGCGGCCTCTTAGCTGTTTAACCCGAACCTCTGATTAGCACGGTTGGCTGTGTACGATACGAAAGATGTTTGACGTACATACATACATACAACCGCCCCGTCTTCTTCACAGTGGACGCTCAAGATCCCGTGACGTCATTCGCAATAGTAGGTCAAATTTGCCAAATTTGATTGAAATCCTCATAGCAATCACCCCCCCACCGACCCTCTTAAAACAGGCATATGAATCAGTGAGGCTTTCCTGGGAAAATAAGTGAAAGCAATTAGTGATAATCCATTTTCTCGTCACTGGTTTCAACCTGCCGCACCATGCAGGGACTATGCTGACCAAGGTCAGTGCGCAGCTAACGAGGTTATATGTTGATAGAGGGGGAATCCGGGACCTGTCCAAACTGGAAATGCATACAGGTGCAGACAATGATGAAAATTGTGGAAGTTTCTCCTTTGACCAGACGGGATGGAAGACTTAGAGCAATGAACAGTGCAGACGATTCCGTCGTGGCCTGGCTGCCCCTAAACACGCTTACGCGAGAAGACCTGCCCAGTAGCATCTTTCACGAGCCTCCTTTACACAGTCCAATCGTGTCCTCTTGTACTACATCAGCCCACCTTGTCTCTAGCCTGTGCTGTCTCAATTTACACCGCCTCTGTGATTTGATTACCGTTCCTATACTTCACACTCCTATCGTGTTTTTGTACTTGTAACTTTCTGACCCGCCCTTACTGGACATCTGTGAAAAAGAGCTTTACAGCTAATCAGATTGCTCCAGTATTAATACTGATTCTGATTCAAACAGACACTGCTTTGGCATGCGATGGCTCGGCATGCGGTGCCATATGACCCAGTACAAAGCAGCCGTCGTCTGCTAAGTACTCCACTGATGAGACTGTGTCCAGATCTTGATTTAAAGCTTTCGTGACTGCAGGGATTCATATTCTTGGTTCTTTCAGTAAAGTCACCACGTAGAAGGGAAACAATACAATATTAAAAATATAAAACAATAAAATTATCACGACGTTCCGACTGCAGTCGTGAGAATTTGTGTTGCAGTCGAAACGTTGTGAGAATTTTATTATTTTATATTTTATTGTTTCCCTTCTACGTGACTTTACCGAAAGAATCAAGAATATGTGTCCAGATCGTTCAAGTATTTGAAGCCTCTTCAGACAGCCCATCCTGGATGAACCCAGGATGTATATATAATAGGTTAGTTTGACATTTTGAAGCCAACACATGTGTTCTTGTAAAGGGGTCGATACTTTTGCAGGAATTGTCTTCAGTGGATGCCCTCTGCGCTCCTTCCTTGGGCTGGTACACATTCTTTACACAAACTTGGCTTGCCGCAATATATATTTTTTCCACGATACAATACGATATTCATTTTTATTACACTACCGCGATGATCAGCTTCCCATAATTGTATCGCTCACCTTTTATTGCAAGTTATTGCGCACTGCTAACCTCCCCGTACGAATACGATTACTTCTACACTTCACTCAGCATAAGCCTGCCATAATCAGTCGTCTCATCATTGAAACGTTGCAATCTATAAGGCACATGCTGTCTATTACACTCGAAATTATTATTGAATTCCGCAAAGGATGACGTTATAATTGACATTCCGTCAATTAATCGGAAACCCATTTTGCAAAGCATTAATTGGGAAAAAAAGAGTGTTCGTTTAGAACTTTAATTAAGGAGTTTGTTATTTTAGATGTGTTTCGGGAAATTCAATATGAAATAAAATGAAAAGATCAACGATAATCAATTTATTACGATATCTCGCAAGAACGGATGGTGCGATTGTCGGTCTTATATCGTGCATTGCGATTATCGCGGATTTTATGTCCCATATCGTACAATCCGATTATCGTGGGTCTTGCATCGTACGATATGAGCATCGTGGATTTCACACCGTTCATCGCGGCTCTTATATCACTACTTATCGTGGATATCGTCGTATCGCCATATCGCGACGGGCCCTCTCGCGCGCGCACGTGCTCCCACGCCGCGTCACGTGACACGAACCGGGAGCGCGCCCTTATTTATTTATTTACATCGCGCGAGCTGGGGGGCGTGGCGTGGCTGCATCACGTGACGCGGCCACGACCCGGAAGGGACCGTGGATACCTTTGGAGGCCGAGGGGCTTTACCCGCGTTACCGGCGTTACCCGGGTAACGTTACCCAGTTTTCACCACCGCGTTCCCGGCGTTACCCGCGTTACCCGGGTAACGTTACCCAGTTTCCACCACCGCGCTACCGGGGCGAACGCCACCAGGGACCACGGTACCCGCGTCTCGCGAACAAAGTTGCCAAGCGTGAGCCGGGGTAACGTCATCTTTTACACCGCACGACCAGCGGTGTTACCCGGTTAGCCCATCCTGGTACCCACCCTGTCGCCATGGTTACCTCGCTGATTATCCGGCCGCGTTACCCGGTGACTGCGGTTACCCAGTTATCAACTGGTACTCGCCTCGCATCCATTTACGTTCACGTCTACTCGCTGTGCAACTTAATGTCTAATCCGCAGTGTTGCTCAGTTAACCCACAGGTTACCCTCTCTGTTACTCGGCCACTCTCAGTTATCCGACTTTACCCGGTTATCCGCAACGTTATCCAGTTACCCACGTTTATTCGCAGTTTACCCAATTACCCTCAATTACTCGCATCGATACCCATTCACCTAGGTTAATCTCCCAGTTACCAGGTTTCCCGGTGGGTTATCCAGTTACCCTCTTGTGCTACCAAGTTACCCTATATATTACAAAGTTACCCATTGTGTTACCAGGTTACTCAATGCGTTACCAGGACACCATCTGTGTAATCAAGTTACCGCATTAACATGTAACCTTGTTGCCAGCTGTGTTACCAAGTTATAGTGTTAACCAGTTTACCCGATGTGTAATTATGTTGTCAGACGTGTCACCAAGTCATTTGGGTTACCAGCTATGTTGCCAAGTTACCCGTATTGTTTATCACGTTAGCTTGTGTGTTACCAGATTATCAGCCGTGTTACCAACTTACCCGTCGTGTCACTACACTAGGTTACCCTCTGGGTTACCCAGCGCCATGAGCTGGTGGGCACGACGCCAGGAGCCTGCGGCGGCGGCGCCTTCTGTTCTCCAGTCGCACCGACAGTTGCAGATCCAGTCGCTGCAAGCAGCCATACCGGGGTGCGGCGACACGGGCACTACAGGGGGGGAGACATCACGGGAAATACCGGGGTGGCACGGGGGAATGGGGAGACAGAGACTCCGGAGGCCTCTGGCAACGGGCAAGGGGGTTGTGACAAGGGCGGTGGCAATGAGAGACAAGACGGAGGCGATGGGGTCGGGAGGATCGAGACGAAAGAGATGCGCGGGGTCATGTGGGGACAGGAGGAAATGCATACAGAGAGGCACTGGGAAGCGGAGAGAGTGTGACAAGGGTTTACACAGGTTTGATTGGGGTGCAGAGGACACATTGGGAGACAACGGTGATGGTGGAGAATGGGACACACGTCGAAACAGGGCGACGGGGTGAACATGAGGAGATAGCGACACTGGTAGGCAGAGGGGCACGTGGGCAGTTCGAAAAGGGGACACAGAGGATATGAGGTAAAGAGGGAAAGGGAGGCTCAAGGAGACGGAGACATTGATGGACAGAAACCTGGGATACACACGTGGTCACGGTGTTGATGTGTATTTTGTGTTTCTTAGCGGTGGTGTTTATGGTGAAGGTGTTGGTGGTGGTCATAATGAAGGTGGTGATAATGTTACATTGCTAATTAAGGTCGATAATGTGCACCATGAAACTAAAGTATTTATCCATAATACAGGTTTTTTTGGGGGTTAGATCGCGCAAAAATATAAATGTGTTGTTAAACCCGCCACCACCCAACACAGCCACTTAGTAAAGTTTGTCACGTTACTAGTACAGCCACACCGGTGTGTTGGAGAGCCAAGCCACAACATTTACAATCTGAGTACGACGTTTCGCCAGTAATTAGAACTAGCTTCATCAGGCGACAACCATATTTGTGGATAAATCATCTGTTTCGTTCCGTAAATAGAGGGGTAGATGTAATAGCATCACTTGTGAGCACTTCTTGAGCGATTTGGGGGGTGATTAATGAATGCGTATAAATGACAATGGGTATCCATTGACGGTTGGGTTATTTATATGGTAATCAACGTACATTATGCATGCACATTGCACAAACCAATTGCACTTTATGCAAGCCCATTGTTAAAATAAAACTTTTTAAAATATTATCTTGGAAAAACTTGGGTTTTTTTCTTTCACCCTTTTAACTATTCTTTTTATTTTAAGACAGTATTTGTACAGTAGTTTGAAGTAACATTGCGGTTAAAGAGTAAGGCTCTAATGCATTCCCCATAAGTTAGCGTTAAAGATCGTAGAGTATTTCGCAATATTATTAATTGCTTGAGGGTAATTTTCACTTGCCTCTTAAAAATACATTTTACTCCGTGTCAATAACGAATGGTAAATTTCATCTGGTGTGCTGGTTGCACAGTGGAGGTCTGGATATTGCATTGATGGCTGTTTTGTTTCGGTTGTTGTGTAGGACGGTGGAGATGCAGAAGGACATTGTGTATAACGTGCCAGCAGTCATCGACAACCAGACACTCACCATCAACGTGTACGTGCGTGAGATGCGCGTGTGTATACACCTAGACACATCACATGTATGCACCTGTGCGTCACCACAAATGTATGCATTCATTAGCTATGTAATGATTTGCGTCCCTTGTAATTCGATAAATTGTCTTATTTCAGGGTCACTGATTGGGATCATAATCCCATTGAAGATGCAATTGATTTTTTTTACACTTAAAAATTTTTTTTGCGAGTTTTCCCCTGGTTGTGCTGTTGGGTTTCACATGATGAGATGGATAGTCCACTCGGATCTGTCGCAGACCAGTGCAACCCTTAATGAGTAGAGAATGGTCCATGGAAGCGGATATCACAGGACTACTTCCAAGATCCCTCTAAAGGGACCTCTGGTCCAAACAGTAGGGAGCAGCACTTTACCACCTGACCTGCTTTAGAGAGTCATTAATGTGCATGGCATTACAGTCAAACTCAAACATTTAACCCCCAGTGCTGGAATTTAGTCAATGATGTGCAATGCCAAATTTAATTAGATGTTTTTTTTTGTCCGGTCATTGGTCTTCGTCTTGTGTATGGCGATTCAAAGCAAGGGTTGATCACAGTTATGTGATGCGGTGATGTAGCCAGTTGATGGCTATCACAGTCATTGGTGATGGGGCTAAGATCATCAAATTATTACACTTGAGAACCGGTTTCACCACTGGCAGTTGCCTGGATTCAAACCTAAGGCCTGATTCATGTCAGTGGTCTGACTTGGTGTGTTTACATTGTGGTGTGTTGTTGTGCCTCTGGTGGCTGGAGGAGTCACGTGAACTAATTACACAAAAAACATACAAATTCAAAATAATATATTCTCACATGCACAATTGTATTAATCTATTGTGAGGATCTCGTGTTTATTGTAGATGTATGTTGATATGTGTATGCAATTATAGTGTAGTGGGGAGTGGTGGCGCAGTGGTTAATGAACTGCACTCCAAACTCGGTGACTTCAGTTTGCTTTCTCGCCACATCTATCATTAATGGCAATTGACAACCGGTCCTGGGCCCCCCTAGGTCAACTGGCCACACCACCACTTCCTTGAGCATTATCCTGGCCTAACAAGGTGCTCACTAATAGTACTAGCCTGAGCAGTCTGTAATGCTATAGAGAGGATCTTTGTCTACATGTGTGTGTGCCATCAGGTTTCTCCCACCACAGTTTCCCCAGGATCGCCCGGTCGTGCACGTTATGCCGTATGTTCGTCACCCTTGGCTCAACGAGAAATGTCAGGTCATCGGCTCCCCTGCCATCAATGGGGTGCGTGTGTGTGGATACATGTGAGGACACCTGGGGAAAGGTGGGGGCATGCTGGGATATATGCGGAGACGCAGGAACACCAGGGGCATGCAGGAATGCGTGGAGACACATGGAGATGGAGGGTGACTCATGCTGAGATGTGCGGTGGCACGGGGACATGCGGGAGGGAGATAATTTTCATATGGAGACCTGTACAGAAAGATCTGCAGGCATACGGAGATGTTGGGAAACACACAAGAACATGGGAGAACATGACAGAAACACAAGGACACAGCAACATGTAGAGACATGAGAACATGGAGACACATGGTGATATAGGGAGATGTGAGGACATGGAGACACAAAGACACAAACAGGGACATGCAAAGACCTGCCGTGGAGGAGACACAGAGAAAAATGGGGAGATGTGTAAGGATATGCAGTAGATACATGGGGAACCACATCGGTACATGAAGATACATGTAGTGACATGAAGCATGCACACCGATTAGCGCACCTCCAATTAGTACGGTTGGCTACATATGGCATGAAAGAAGTTCACTATACATACATGCATGAGGACATGAAGAAAGTACAGACGGACATGGGTATGCACTGTGGACCAACACAGATGCGCATACAGGGACAAGCATCTTGACAACCAGGGACACGGAGTTACGAACGGGGAGACACGACTATTGTATGTGTACATCGTCTGCATATGTGTGTGTGCGCGTATGTGCAGTTTGTTATACAGTCTGACCTGGGAAAAGCAGTGGTCAGCGTCGTGGAGGAATTCAGGACAAACCCTCCTTGTTTTGGGTGTGAATTCCATCTCATGCCACTCATTGGAACACTCGCAACACTCAACACCCTCGCAAACATGCGTACACACATGCACACCGATAACAGCTTATGTTGGCAGGTCTTAATTATTACAGTTGTATTGTTTTGAATGCTAACCTTTAATTATTGATATGGCAGCATTGTTACGGTATTATCACTGTAATTAAAGTTACTGTTATTATTGCCCATTCTTCTCCATTGTATGCACACACACATGCACACACACACACGCGCGCACACACATACGAACGCTAACACTCAAATGCACATACATAAAAATGTACACACATGCACACACTTGCATGCATACTATATTTGCATGCACACACTCATTTGCATGTACATGCATGCATGCTCATACATGCATACAAACATTTGCACTCACCTACACTCATGTACGTGAATGTTTACATCCATCTGCATGCACGGGCACACACAGAGCCTCTCGTGCTCCTTATTCCACTCAGCCAACAGGCTTTGCTCCGCCTGCCGTGACCTCGCACTCTGACACGACCCCCTTGGGCAAGGACACGAGAACACAGGTGAGCATGCGTGCACAAGGGTACTTGCACATATGTGCACACACAGGCGCGTACAAACCTGCACACATATAGTCACAAGTGAACAAGTAGAGACGTGTGCTCTCATCCACATACAAAGGCAAAGAATCCTATAACTTACATAGATTGTTGGGGAAAGTTCTTAGTGAGCATCTAAGAACACCAGCATGCCATATGAGGGGGCGGTGTGGCGAGCACTATGCCATGTCTCCCCACTGTTGTGTCATAGACTGCATCAGCTCCCCATTTACAGCTGAATACACCAAGGTGAAGCCAGGACCAGTTCAATTAAGACTTTGGAATTGAATCCAGGTTTCTGGTTTTATATAGCAGTTCACTAACCACTACGCCATTGACACCCACATATATGTGTGCATATGGACATACAGGCACATGCCCATCACGCGACAGCACAGTCCATCTACACACTTTTTATGAGCCGTGACTCATACTAATATGTAATATTAATAGTTGCGTGTCTGTGTTTCCATCTGTGTGTGCTATGTATGCATCTATGCAATGCTTTCTCTTTCTAGAAGGGCGTTGAAAGTTCAGACATTTTTGCACAAGTGGCGGAGATGAGGTGAGTGGGTGGTTGGATCAGTGAGTGGTTTATGTTAGCCTGCGTGTCAGTGTGAGTGAATGTGTGGATTTGTGCCATTGTGTGCTTGCTGGTGGTAAGTTCAAGTGAGCGTGATAGTGTGTATTAGTGTGTGATTGAATGGGTGAGTTCATGTAGTGTGTACGTGTGGATTTTGTGGTGTGCATGTCCGTAGCGTGGCTTGTACGTGAAGAACACGAGGTATTAGCGCCCAGTATTGCTTGTGTGAGTTGCGTGTTGTGTTCGCATGTGTTTAGCTTGTCGGAGCTGCGAGCACTCTCGGACTCTGATGAGCAACTCGGGGCGCTCGTGCTCACTCACCCAGCCGTCGTGACATTTTGGGAGGAGACGGTGGTGCAAGCGACGAGAAACGAGGCGCTGGCACGTGGGGCGTCACGCACGCACCGCACTGCACCACGTACACCACTCTTACCGCACACACTATGCCATGCGTACCCCACCATATGCACCACACCATATGCACCACACTGTACCAGCCTCACCCCACCATATGCACACCATGTTGCAATCCCCGCACCAAATGTTCCACACCACACTCAATGCAGGCACCCACTTTATGCATTTCATCAGAGGGCATTCCATTGCCTGCAGGTATCACAATATATGCACTGCACCCCACGTACCACATGCGCTCCCAGTACTACACTGGTAAAGGTTGTTGTGACATGATGGTGATGATGTTAATATGTATAATATATAGCGTGGAGTGTTTAGCGTGACTGGGCTATGAGCCTGGCCACCTGGGTTCGATTCTCGGCCACGGCTAACATCAGCGGCAAGTGGTATCTGAACTGTCCCTGGGCCTTCCATTTCAGCAACCTGCACTACTGTGTTGAAATATGGACAAACAACCCCCATGACTGATACGGGATTAAGAGGCCTTCACCTAGAAGTAGATTAATAAAGGAATAAATATATTATAGGTGATATTAGTGATGGGGTGATGGTGGTTGTAATGCTTTATGGTGGGGGTGTCTATTCCAGATGAAAACTTATCCATGAAACCTCAGCTGGATTGCAGACGAAATGAGTTTCTGCAAAAGGTGAGTGTGGCATGTGCATGCACTTGTGCACACATATACAGAATCACAGCAAACACAGCTGTTAGAGCAAGCGCTGTTAGTGAGCGCCTTTGAATGCCGGCATTAGGGAGCAGCTTGACCGGCCTTAGGCCCAGCCACCTTTATCTTTTCAGTGTTGATGTTTACACACTGCACCAGGTACTGATTCATTCTCAGTCGACAGAGGAGGCCCAGAACCTGTTCAGATATCGCCAATGTTATCAGTGACCAGGATATCTTGATTGGATGGCCAAGTTCATTGTGTAGTGTGCTACCCACTGCCACCACACTACCACTTAATATACACACATGCACACAATGCATACCTACATGCATGTACTGTGTGTGAAATTTGAGCATTGATGTGTGGTGATGTGATCATGTGATATAATAAGTTGTTACTGTATATGAGTTGATATGACATTGAGTGATGTTACTGGCAGAGCTGCCCTAAGGTTTTGAAAGCCCGGGGCAACATGCATGTATGTATGTGAAGTGAGTTCAACTGAGTCGCAGACGTACTCTTGGAGGCAACACATTTATTAACACCAACACACGGGGTAACTGCCCCTTTACAGAATAACAACATTTGGTGGTGACCACCAGGCTAACTACACGAATTACAACGTAACGAGCTACTACGGACCGGACCACAGCTTGGATCCAGGTCCACGTGTTGGAGACTCTGCAAGACGTAGAACGTAGACGAAGGTTTCTTCAGGATGAACAACAGCGCCGGTCCCTCTGGGGGACCCGGCTGATATCCTCTGTGGCATGGCTGGCTCCGCCCTTGGCCACGACCACCTTCTAGAATCCTCGAGCAGGATCTCGACCCTGACACGTGACCACCCCTAGCCCCCACTTGGGGCCCCTTTGTAGACTTAACCGGTCACGTGTCCTCTCGGGTCAACCAGAGTGCCACGGCCTTTAGTAACCCCATTTCCATGGCCGGCACTCCCATACCCTGTCCTGTAGGGGTCGGCAATGCATGCCAAGCGTGGTGCCATCCAGCGCTATAATTCAGCGCTCACCGAGCCCCTCTAGGGCCGGTAAGGCACCCACATCCACGTGGTATCCGCGATGTCAATACATCGCACGCCGTGCTTCTCTAGGGCCGGCATCACACAGTGACATCCCGCGATGTCACTACATACGTAGCCAACTGTGCTAATCAGAGGTGCTGGAGCCAGATGAGGTCTCTTTAGGATCCATTTGGCCCTTTATGAGGCCCCCCCGGGAAAAATGGACCCCATGGCTATGGACACTGGATATCAATGCTGTGATAACATTGATGCGCGATGATTTGTGATGTTGGCCTATGACGAGTGATGGAATGTGGAATGTAACAGCAAAAAAAATGTGAGTGACTGAGTGATCTCTCCGACAGTGTGAGGAGTTGAATCGCTTCAAGTCGGCGTTTGACAAGAAGGTTGAAAAACAGCATGAGATGAATGAGGTGAGGTGGGGGCACCTCACAACACACACCCCTTGCTGCCTCTGTGTTTCCCACTTGGTGGCATGTGTCCCCATGCCTCTGTGTTCCCTTGTGTCTGTGTGTTATAATGTCCCTGCGTCTCCAAGGAATGAGCATACCAGAGACTCGTCTCAATGTGAATATCTCTGTATCTCAGCTCCAAGGAGTGAGTCTACTGGAGGCTTGTCTCAATGCAAATGTCTCGTCTGTGTCTCTGTATCCTAGGAATGAGTATACTAGAAGTTCATATCAATGTGAATGTCTCTATGCCTCTGCATCTCAGCTCCTAGGAGTGAGTGCATTGGAGGCTCGTCTCAAAGTGGCCGCCCTCCAGGCGGAAGAAGAGTCCGAGGCGTCTGCCGAGCGCTTCCTGGATGGGAGTTGCAGTCTTGAAGATTTCCTGCCCGCGTTCATGGAGGCACGAACGGTGCGGTGATGTCCTTCCTTGTATATCCTGTGTCTCCCCTGTGTGCCGCGTGCTTTCCGAGTCCCTGATCATCCGCTCACAATTGTTAGGAACTTGACCATGTACAGTTGTTTTTGCATTGTTTTGGTCATGTTTTTCTGTTGTTGCTGGAACCAAGTTTCTATGGTGTAACCAGGTTCCCATCGAAAATTAGCATTTATTGCCCAATGGGTTTTGCATGTGTCAAAAATAAACCTTAACCATTCTGATTGTGGGCAAGCCCAGGTAAAGCTGTATGACTTGGAGTTTGATAAACCTTTCATGGTTGGTATAACGTCCACGACGATGAGCTTCTATGGCTCTGCTTGAGTTCACGAGTGTGTTTCATTATATTTGTATGTGCTCATGTGTGTGAATGCAGCTCTACCACATGAGGAAAGCAAAGGAGGAGAAACTTCTTCAGCTACTGTGACGACCGCTCTCCCTCAGCATCCCAGACCACACAAACTGGACTCTCTCAACCGTGGCGGGGGGGGAGCGACCGACACCTACGGGCCTCTCCGTCAGCCACAATCGGATAAAAGTGCGCGATGGAGGGGTGTGGCCCTCGTCATAGAAACGTGGAATTGCCACCAATGGCTCGGAGTGGCCAGCGGACATGAGTGCTGCCTCATGCCTCACTTGAGCACGGAGACACTTTGCCTTGTATGTTTAAAAAATCAAAATAAAATGTGCTGCCTTGGCAGATTTGCGAGTTGTATATAAACAGCAGGCGTCTTCTGTTTCATCGTATTCGTGAAATGCGATTGGATTCAGCAACAAAGTCTGATTTCAGAATCGATATTCTCAAGTCGTGAGCCTGTGACGAAATGACCTAGAATGTACTAAACTCATCAGGTTCTTGAGGGTGAAGCAGGTTTGACCATGCATAGTGCTTGGATGGGTGACCACCACGCATGAGCCAAGTGTGATCGGCTGCTGCAGAGGCATGTGGTTAATGAACAGCAATGCAGGAAATATATTGTTGTGCTGCACTTCCATAATCCCCTCCTTAAACCCATGCTGCAGAGTGTTGAAGTATGGCCAAGTAATCCCCATGATTCGCAAGACTTTCAGCAGTAGATTGACACAAGGCCTGCACATGTTCATTAACATTTTATAGTGGCGTTCGATTTTACCGGTTCCTCATCGGCAGTGTGGCCTTTCAAATTCAAGGCTATGGATCGAGCAGTTGCAGAGAAAAAATAAACCTATCATCTGAGGTGTGATGTCATTGCTTTATAATGAGATGGCATCCCCCAGTGGGAAAGAGCTTATCCTGTTAAATGGACATAATTAGTGGCGTCATCGGATTGGATGTTATACAGTCCTGCTTTAGTGATGTCAAATTTTGAGGTGAGGCAGACAATCTTATGTGATTCCAGACCTGCTGTTGTGCGATGATGTCATTCTATTCGTATTCCCATCGAGTTGTGCTTTTATACCGTAATTTGATAAGCCACTTGTGGAAGCTTTAAATGCGTGACGTCATCGTAAGAGGGTCCGATGATCATTGTGACGTCATGCATCATGTTATGTCAACGTTTCAACTGAACGTTAACACCCTTCTGCATTTCAGTTTCATTTATTTGGTATAGCCCTGTGAGCCATTCGGCTCTTGAATCGGGTGCAACCGCAACAAACAAAAACATGAACAATAAGGATCATTGCCCAAAAGGCCGCTTTTACATATTTTTATTTAACGATATTTTCCCTTTTCGTTTATTTTCATAACGGATGGGATCTGACCCCGCTCCTCCGGTGAGCACGGTTGACTACGTACATGCCATTCCTTACCGACGTCGAGCAGATGACGTCATCTTGATCAGCGGCGTCAGTGACGTCAACCGACCCGTGATTTTTTTATCGACGTCACCCGGATCGAGATTACCCACCGTGACGTCGCCTCCGTTGAGACGCGTTGAGTGACGTCATCACATTTTGATTTATGGCAAATTGGACAGATGACGTAATATGCGCGGGGGAGTGGGTGCGAGGGTTTCTGTTGGTGACGTCGCACCCGTTGTGAGTGACGTCATCGCATTTTTCGGGGGAACCCCCCCCCTAGCAACACAAGCGGGCTTTGCCGTAAAGCTAATAAAAAAACCTGACAATATTTTTACGACGGCGGCGTAAAGCGAGTCACTGTTCGATCGTTTTGCGATAGTGAGACAGCGTCGTAAAGCGAATCACCTGTCAATCTTTTTGCGACAGCGTTATAAAGCGAGTACCCCCACCCACTCAATTTCTCTGCAGTGGGACCCCATCACAATTAAGATCTGCCCCCCCCCCAAAAAAATATATAAAACATGCTTAAAATCGCTTTAAACTATTGTCATTGTAGTGGGTATTTAACGTGGCGCTGCACTCTGATGTAGGAGAAAGCATTTACAAAAAAGATATATTTAATTAAGTAGAACGTGTTGTCTATATTTATTTAAAGTTGCGCATTTTCATGTGACGTCACATTTCTCAACCCATATGGATTTTTTTAATTAAAAAAATCGAATCCAAATCTCATTTGCACTTCATTCTAATCCGCTCCTCTAAATATAATTCTCTTTGCACCCCCCCCCCCCTGCTAAATTTAATGCTCCACCTTTCTCCGTGCAATTCTAATTGTAACGTTATTTTCGTGTCGCTCCTGCGATGGCAGCGGTGCGACACGCACAGCGACACACACGGCAACTTGTTGACACGCTCGTCGCTATCTACAATAGCCGACGTTTCGAACCAATGGCCCTTCGTCATGGCACACCCATGCTGACGGGTAAATAATAACATTACTGAAGGGCCATTGGCCGAAACGTTGCTTTAGTTTACGACGGTGTTATTGACGAGTGTGTTGTGTTTTTGTTGTTGTTAAATATTTAAAACTCAACACATTTATCATTCTTATTGGTTCGCCAATATTGTGTCCACTCTACCTGCACTCTTATGCAAGCTATAGAATCCAATCTTTATCCCTGCTCCCTTCTTATACGCTTTATGAAATCCAATTAATATTCTCCAAATCTCTTATACACGCTAACAAATACAACCAACCCCTCTCCTATCCGCTCTACACATTTTAACAGCACACCCCCATCCGCTCTACAGATTTCAACCACCTCCTATCCGCGCTACAGATTTAAACTCTCCATTCCCATCCGCGCTACAGATTTCAGCTGCGACCTTCCTATCCAGTCTACAAATTCCACGCCGCCGCTCCTATCCGCTCTACGCTATCGCGGGCCACGTGCGTCAGATCGGGCGCGGGAGTTTAAGCCGGCCCCGCTCCTCCACCTCCCCCCAGCGACTCCTCCACTGCGGCAGTGTGGGCGCGGAGCGGCCTTCGTGGTGGCTGCTGTTGTTGCTGTGCTTGCTTATTTCAGGCTGAGTGGACCATGGAGAGCGCCATGCCGCCTTCGCCCAACTGGTTCTGCAGCGGCGCCGTCGGCGCGGGGCCCGCGGGAGGCGTCGTGGGCTTCGCGGCGCGCAGCGCGGTGGTGCTGGTGGAGGCGGGCAGCCAGGGGCCCGTGGTCAAGGGTGGGTGGACACGTCCCCTGCATCTCGTAGACACCTCGAGGTGCTTCGCCTGTGTTGGGGTTCTGGCCTCGGGCGGTCTTGGTGCAGGCGGGGAGCGAGCGGCCCGCGGTTGGTGAAGATCTCCCTTAGAGTTCTGGCCTGAATGGGTATCTCGCGGACGTCCGTAGTACTTTAAACCTGTGGGATTTGCCGAGGCATCTCTATTGCATCTGCATGGCCTACCCTGTGCAGCGTCTGGTCTGGGGTAGTGCTTGTACAGGTTTACGGTGCGGGAATACATATCACTGACAGCTCTCCAACACCCATACAACATGTCAGAATAAAAAAAAGCTGTAAAGCTTTTTTTTTCCAGGTGTCCAGTAGGGGCGGGGTCACAAAGTTCCAACAAAGATGTAATGGGCACCTCGCGGACATTGCAGTTCCTCACTCGTGTCGCGTCTGGTATGGGGTGGTGCTCGAGCAGGTGACGGGTGGGTGTCATCGCTTCGTGTTCCGCTGTGAGTCGTCCCCCTCCGCCCCCGCCCTCCAACATGTCCCGTTCTCCACATGTCCCCCCTTATTTATGCCTCCCGTGTCTCCTCTCCCCCTCCGCGGCTCCCCCCCCCCCCACATCTCAGACCTGCTGGAGGGTCACACGGAGCGAGTGACCGGCGTCGCGTTCTCGCCGCACGTGGCGCACGCGTGCGCGACCAGCTCGGATGACCGCACGGTGCGGGTGTGGGACACGCGCGCCGGCGCCCGCTGCACGCACGTGCTGCAAGGGGCGCACGCCGTGAGTGACCCGCACGCCGATAGATCATCATCACCATCACCACCACCACCTCCTCCTCCACCACCCACCATTCCCTCTTAAACAGGGTGTTGGGGTAAGCGATGTTAGCGAGCACGTGCGCGCGTTCACGAACGCGCGTCCGTGCCCGCTCGGGTCAGCCCAACAACTGTCTCGGGTTTTCGCAGAATTTTATCCGCGATCATGTGTCCACGCGTAGGGATGAAAATCACTTTAGCGCACCCCCCGTAGAAATATCTCCCATATAGCCGTGAACATGTTGACTGTTTGGGCAAGTGCTCTTCGAGAGAACCTATTAAGACCGGTGTATGGTACACGACGAGGCGGTGGGTGGATAAGCACCACGGCCGACCACCTTTGTCTCCTTGGTGCTGATGTTTACACACCACACCAGCTGAGTCAACCTAGGGGAGGCCGAGGACTGGTTCGGGTATTCGTCACTGATTTTGGCTGTTAGTGGGAATAAAATTCCTCTCGTTGGGCTCGTAGTGCAGTGCGCTATCCACTACACTACCACTCCCCACTATGTGTACACCACAAGTGCACACAACTCGCTACGCCGTGTGTAGCATGCATACCACACGCATCTACACGTACTCCACACCATGGGTTTGACGCCAGTGCATCGGGCAAATTGTTTCCACTTTAAGACGAAAGTCACTCGTTTAGGGAAACGTAAGTGACTGCATGTAAATCACGAATTCATGATATCATACTATTGTCGTCTTCCAAGATGTTTGGCCAGCATGAAAGAGTAGGCCAAATACCCTCTAGAGAAGCTCTGTAGAGCGTCTTTTCGTAATGACCCTTTCACCGGTGGTGAGGGAAAGTAATTGCAGGGCTTCACCTCTATCTGATTTTGAATGCATATACAGTAAAACCTTGGATTGCGAGCATAATTCGTTCAGGAAACGTGTTTGTAATCCAAAGCACTCGTATATCAGTTGTGAGCACGTGACGCTCGGCAGACAAAGCGTATACGTACTACTCGTATTGCAAGACCTCGTTCGTTTATCAAATTAATATTTAAAATTTTTGCTCGTCTTGCAAAACACTCGCAGACCAAGTTACTCGCAATCCAAGGTTTTACTGTAAAATTAAAATCGAATCACAAATTATTATATCTCTGCGTGTCTCTATGTATTTCCTTGTCCAAATGTGCCCCCGAGTGTCTCTGCGTGTCCCCGTGTACCTTCTCATGTGTCTGAGTGCCTCCGCATGCCTTTATGTCCCCTATTATAATTTAATGTCTAGATATATCCGAGTGTCTCTTGTGTGTCTCCATGTGTCTCCAAGTGTCTCCGTGTGTCTTCTCATGTCCCCAAGTGTCAACGCGTGTCTCCCCGTGTCTCGGGCGTGTGCGAACAGGCGGGCGTGACGGCCGTGCAGTTCTCCCCGCACGAGCGGGA